TTCTATTAATCTGTGTGTATGTGTATAGGTGTGTGTGTATAGGTGTGTGTGTATAGGTGTGTGTGTGTATAGGTGTGTGTGTGTGTGTGTGTGTGTGTGTGTGTGTGTGTGTGTGTGTATGTATGTGCTATGTAAGTGGGCGGGTGTTCTACAGCATGTAGGATGTAAAGGTCAGGCTTACATAGTCACAAGGCTATGGTTTACTGGGAAAAGTTCTGGCATTTATCTCCGGTGGGGCTCCATGGCTTCTCTCTGACTCTGCCCTTCTTTCTCCCAGCATTCAGTCCAGTCCTTCTGGCCTAGCTCTGCTCTGCCCCTCCCTTCTCTGCTATAGGCTCAAAGCAGTTCTTTATTCATTAATGGTAATCACACATCAGGTTTCACGTATTTTTTGAAATTCTTTATTTTTAATTTTATGTGGATCAGTATTTTGCCTGCATGTATGTCTATGTGAGGGTGGTGGATCTGGAACTGGAGTAACAGTTGTGAGCTGCCATGTGAGTGCTGGGAATTGAACCCAGGTCCTCTGGAAGAGCAGTTAGTCCTCTTATCTGCTAAGCCATCTCCCCAGTCCCTAGGTTTCACATTTTAACTGAGTATAGGACTTGTTTTGTTCTATTGCCCCTCTGGGTATCTGTAGATACTGGTGTATTTGCCTCTTCTCTGACAGGAAGAGTTTCTGGAGGCCAAACCTTTGTGGCCAGCTGATGTCACACAGTACCTCCCAGACAGCAGGTGTCCTTTAATAGTGACAGTGTGAACTAGTGAAGACAGAGGTTTCTGTTCTGTCTGGTCCTGCAGCCGTTCAATCCCAAAGAAACATACAGATACTTGTATTAATTATAAACTTTATAAACTGTTTGGCCTACTAGCTCAGGGTTATTAACCAGCTCTTTTTTTTTTAAAGCTTCAGTATGCAGCCCAAACTGGCCTTCAAGTCTTTCTCTTTTTTTTAAGATTTATTTATTATCTTTACAGTGTTCGGTCTGCATGTATCCCTGTAGGCTAGAACAGATGGTTGTAAGCCACTATGTGGTTGCTGGGAATCAAACTCAGGACCTCTGGCAGAGCAGTGCTCTTAACCTCTGAGCCATCTCTCCAGTCCTATTAACTAGCTCTTACAACTTAAATTAAGCCATAATTCTTATCTGTGTTTAGCCGTGTGGCTTGGCACTCCCATCTTGCTTCCTCTGCATCTAGATGGCTACTGTGTCTCTGCTTTTACTGTGTTTCTTCTTCCCAGAATTCTCCTAGTCTGGTTGCCCCACCTATACCTCCTGCCTGGCTACTGGCCAATCAGCATTTTATTAAACCAATACGAGTGACAGATCTTTACCGTGTACAAGAGCATTATCCCACAGCAATGGGGTGTGACACACGCTAGTGGATGGTGTGCCTTAACCCACTCCTGGCTCTTTCCACCCGCAGCTGTGCAAGTCTGACTTGCTGTGGGAGCAGATAGTTCAGTTGGCCTGCGACACCATCACCCCCGACATGAGGGCCCTGGCAATGGACGTGGGCTGGAGACAGGTGTTCTTCACCAACAAGATCCAGCTGCAGAGGCAGATCCGCAGGAAGAAGCAGAAACACAGCAAGCACGAGAAGCATATTTAGAGACCACAGTGCTTCTCTACAGATCCAGATCTCGTCCTAATGCCAGCCATTGCCGATTCCAGGAATCACCTGAAAATCCCACTTTGAACACACATGTAAATCCACCCAGTGCCTTGCTTGAGCAACCACCCCTGTCCTGCTCAGGCCAACCCATGGCCCAAGTACCTAGGGCTACAAGACAGAAAGCCTCTCAGGCCACCACCTTCCCCATCCCCTGCTGCTCCTGAGGGAAAAGGCACTTGTGTATGAACTAACAATAAAGAGTTACTAGCAGGCTTGTGTTTATGTGTATCAGACAGGGATCCCAAGCGGGACCTTTAGGATGGCTTTGAACTTCTGACCCTCTTGCTTCCCTCTCTCCGCTGCTGGGATTACAGGCATTCACCACCATGCCCAGTTCATAAAGTGCTGGCTGACCTGTGTGCTAAGTAAATAAACCCTCTTCACCAAGTCATCCCTCCCCCTCCGCCCACACAACACAGTGCTGGGGCTTTGTTAAAGGGAGGATTTCTCTGTGTAGCCCTGGCTGTTCTGGTACTTGCTCTGTAGAAAAGGTTGGCCTGGAGCCCAGAAATCCACCCACCTCTGCCTCCTGAGTGCTGGGATTAAAGGTGTGTGCCACCACAGCCCAGCTGTCAAATATCCATTCTGTCTAGGCTTTCAAAACAGCAGCTCAGCTTTGGATCTTTCCCCTCCTGGTGTGGTATTACCTGTTGTATTATCTGTGGGTGGCTGGGTATACTTGGAGGTGCAGGTGCCATGGAGGCACCCCAGGAGAGTACAGCTGCTCCCTCACTTCATCCAACAGAGTCTGTATTCAGTCACTGTCCTTGTGGGCCCAAGGTGTCATCCACCACACAAACAACCCCTGATCCAGCGCTGGAGGGTAGTTGAGGGAGCCCAGGCATTCTGCCGGCAGCCCTTACCCAGAGGATGTTACCATTGTTTAACAAACCAATCAGTTCTGAAGGGAGGACCACTGCTCTCTGAAGGGAATGTAGCCAGACAGCACTTCGCAGCAGGGATTTTTGTTTGTTTGAGTACAGGGTTTCTCTGTGTAACAGCTCTGGCTCTCTGGGAACTCACTCCGTAGTGAGTTAAAAGCCTGTGTCACCACTGCCTGGCTGCAGCAGGAAGTTTAAGAGCAGAGGTGGTGGGTAATCTGTGTGAACCCTTAGCATGTGTTTAGTTAGCATGGTTCAGGGATGCACATAGCAAGTTGGAGACCAGTCAGAGCTACACGAGACCTTGTCTTCAAAAAGAGGCAGGGGGCAGGGCAGTGATGGCGCATGCCTTTAATCCCAGCACTAGGGAGGCAGAGGCAGGTGAATCTCTGTGAGTTTGAGGCCAGCCTGGTCTATAGAGTGAGTTCCAGGACAGGCTCCAAAGCTACAGAGAAACCCTGTCTCGAAAAAACCAAACCAAACCAAAAACCAAACCAAAAAACAAAACAAAACAACAAAACCCCCAACCAACCAAAACAACAAAAAACAAAACTCACTGGCCACCTTTAAAGAGGACAACATTTATTTAGTTACAGGTAAATGAACACCACTTGGGTATGCAAAGGGTAAACGAGAAAGCATATGATGTAACCACACAATTAACCAGTAGAGTATCTTCAGAACACTGCAGGTGAGAGCAGAGATAGGAACCGGGGTTTTGTTGTTGTTGTCTTAGCAAGCAGGTCTTGCTTCAGTTTTGCAGGGACCTCTGATTCAGTAGAAGCCACTGCACCCTCAAGTACAAGTAAATCCACAAATAGGACCATGAGCAATCTACCTGGATGCAGTTCCAGGCGGGTCAATGGGCAGAAAGTCCGTATCTCTGACGCAGAGCGAGCAGTACAAGGATCCTCAATCATGGACCATAGCACCATTCAGCACACGGATCAGCCAGATCACTGCCTCCCGTTAACTGACGCTACAGACGATGACAGCAGTGAAGTAGTGTAGTTTAAAAACACATAACATGTTTAACCATTCCTAATTGTATGGTAAATACCTATACACATGTGCATGTATGTGCTTGTATGTATTGGACATGAAAATAAATACCACTGTTTCAGTTTTAAAGATTGCTATTTATTTATTTTTGAGATAGAGTCTCACTCTGTACCTCAGGCTGTCCTGGAATTCACTCTGTAGACCAGGCTAGCCTTGAACTCTTCCTGCCTCTGCCTCCCAAGTGTTGGGATTAAAAGTATGCACCACCATGCCTGGCTAATATTACCTTTATTAAAACATCAAGTTGTGCTATAGGTATGATGATAACAAACAGGTCTTTGGCCAGGGGTGGAGGTAGAGACAGAGGGGCAGAGGAAGGCAAGTCTCAATGATTTCAAGGCCAGCCTGGTCTACATAGTAAAATCCTGTCTCACACAAAACAAAACAAAACAAAATCAAACCCAACCCTGTCTTTGAGTTAAGCCAAATGGAACAGGGCATCTAAATTATCATCAGCCTAACTTCCAGGCAATGCTCACATCAGTGGTGGGAATAGCAAGGGTGTGCATTAGCAGAGACTTCGGGACACCTTTTTATGGGCCAGTCTGCTCACTACTGGTGTTATCTGGGTGGGTTTCACAGCACAATCCTTTCCACTAGTTCTTAGGACAGGAGGCCGTGGAGACGAGGCACAAGGAAACTGTTCATTTAATTACCTGTTAACGCCTGGGAAGCTCCCTTTGCATTCGGACTGAAAGTTAGACCTTGGGAGCATTCTGCAACTCCAGTTCTTAGCATTCCTGCCTTTCATTACCAAAGATAACCGAGACTGGGGTGCATTCATTTTAGGTAAATCTGACCCAAGACACTGGCAGTTTTGTTTGATGAGCAAATTGTGAGTCCAAGTTTCTTGCTTTATGGTGTGGAGATGAATCCTAGGATCTGAACATGTTAAGCAAATGCTCTTATCACCAAACTACACCCCCACCCAAACCAGCCAGTACACATTTAAGTCATTAATTAAAGGTATGTATAAATAAGTAAGGCAGTCAGAAACTCCAAAATGATCCTGGGAGGAACATTCTGTAGTCTGAAAACGTTTTAGCTTTAGAAAAATAGAGATCTCAGGTAAGGAAGAGTATTTGATTTTAGGATGTCTCAGATCAGACATCTTCATGTATGAAACCTACAAAGAGAACTATCTTTAAAATTGTGCCAAGTTCAGACAAGTGGATAATAATAACATGGCAAGAGGCACCAGAGCTGGGCCGGTTGGCACCACTGCCCCAATGTCAGCTACATGGAAAGCTACAAGGCAAGCCAAAAATAATCCTCACAGCTTGACTCTTTTTTGTTTTTGTCCCCCACCCCCAACCAAAACAGGGTTTCTCTGTGTAGCCATGGTTGTCCTGGAACTCACTCTGTAGACCAGGCTGGCTTCAAACTCACAGAGATCTGCCTGCCTCTGACTCCTGAGTGCTGGGATTAAAGGAGTGTGCCACCACTGCCCAGCTCTAAAAAAAAAAATAAAAATAAAAAGGTGTTCACTCTAAGACAATAATAGTATGACTCAAAGAGTCTGAATTGTAGCCCTTGATGCAATAACATGTGCACTGAGAAGCACACATACCACTAAGGACATTATTCACAGACCACTTGGGCGGGATTTGTGTTGAGTTCATAAACTGAACTCATCTTCTATGACATGAGTAACCGAGTTAGAAGGATGGCTAATTTCATTTCCTAAACGAAGAGTTAGAAACTGCACTTCTTAACTACAGAATTCTTTCATAAAAATATAAACTGTGTTCTTTTAAACTGTACTAAATTGTCTTACTTTTTTTTAATAAAAGATTTGTTTTCATATTTTATGTGTATGGGTGTTTTGTCTGAGTCCATGTATGTGTGCAACATGTGTGCAGTGACCACAGAGGCCAGAAGAGGGCACCCGAGCCTCTGGGACTGGAGCTACAGCTGGCTGTGAGCCAACATATGGGTGCTCTCAGCTGAACTCTGGTGCTCTCCAAGAGCAGCAAGTGCTCTTAACCTCCTAGCCACCTTTCCAGCCCACGAATTATGTTACTTTTGAAATGACAGCCTGCCTTTGTATGATATTAGCAGACCAATAACTCCTTGTAAGAAAGAAATAATTCATGACACTCAGTCATGGTCTCATGCTCAAGGCCCATTTATCTGAACCCTTTGGGGGATATCTAGACTCTTGGGTTTTACCTTACAAAGAAGTGGTTGAGTTGCAAAGCTTTTATTTCCAGTCTTTGTATGTAAAACCCTAGTCCCAGTGGAATGAGAGGAGAGGAAGAAAAGAAGGAAGGGAGGCCAAGAGGGAGGGAGGAAGAAAAAGAGAAGGTGAGAACTTTCTTCTTCCTTCTTTCCTTTCCTTTTCTTTTTTCTATCTCTTTTTCTTTTTTTTTTTTCAGACAGGTTCTCATGTAGCCCAGGCTGGCCTGGATCTTACTAGGTAGCAGAGAGGCTAACCTTGAACCTCCAATCCTCCTGCCTCCACCTAGAGCTGGGATTACAGACATTTACCACTACCACCATGCCTGGCTTGAAAGATTTCATCAGGGCATCTGTATCAACTATTTAATAAGCTATAAGCACCATCATCTCTAAAACATACGCAGTTCTAATCACTTCTACCACCTCAGGAGAGGCCATGCTGCTTACAGATGAGACAATGACAAGGGCATTTACAAAGTGACACCGCCGGCCACCACACAGAGCATTCCTCTAGCGACCAGGTGAGGTAGGCACGAGGAGAGGACCCACGCGAACTGTTGCATGGTACTAAACGCGTGCACTGTCTGTGTACTTTCTTCTGGATTGTTCTATCATCTGAATACAGGGTTGAATGAGCAGAAAGAGTATTCCTACCATGTAAAGCAGGCCACATATGTAAAAGGAAAAATCGTATTTTTGTGTGATGTCGAAGATCCACCCTACGAAAACAAAGAAATACAGATATATTCAGTATAACACAGTTTAAGACAAGGTTCAAAGATATAAACCAGGCATTTATTGCTACTTCAATTTTTTTTTTGCTTGTTTTTGTTTTTTTGAGACAGAGTTTCTCTGCATAATCCTGGCTATCCTGGAACTCGATCTGTAGATCAGATTGGCTCAATGTTTTTAACAATGAGTTTGGGATGGGGATGTAGCTCAGTGGCAGAGCACCTGCCTAGCATGTATTAAAGTCAAAGTTCAATCCTCAACACTGCCTCTCTAATTTATTAATCTTTCTTTGTGATGCTGAGAATGGAGCACAGAACATTGCACATGTGGCCACCGTCGGTCACAGAGACAGGCCTCACTCAGAACTTTTTTTTTCCCCATACAAGATCTCATCTATTATACTGAAGGCTGGTCTCAAATTCACTATGGATTATTTTTTTTAAACATTTTTTCCCTTTTTTAAAGATTTATTTATTTATTTATTATGTATACAATGTTCTATCTGCATGTGTACCTGCCCACCAGAAGAGGGCACCAGATCTCATTACAGATGGTTGTGAGCCACCATGTGGTTGCTGGGGATTGAACTCAGGACCTCTGCAACAGCAGGCAATGCTCTTAACCTCTGAGCCATATTTCCAGTCCCCTGGATTGTTTTTTTAATCTTTAAATTTTTGTTTGCTTGTTCTTGAGACAGGGTCTTACTATGCAGTTTTGGAACTCACTACAGAAACCAGGCTGACCTAGAACTCACAGAAACCCGCCTGCCCCTGCCTCTCAAGTGCTGGAATTAAAGGCGTGCGCCACCATGCCTGGCTGTTATCCTTTGTTTTTATTTTATTTATTTTGTGTAAGTGTGTGAACTTAGCGTATGGCACTCATGTAGAGGTCACAGAACAATTCTTTGGGGTTGGTTCTCTCTGTTCACCTCCGTGGGGTCCCAGGGGCCTAGCTCAGGTCACTCAGGTCACTTCACCCACTAAGCCAGTTCATCATCTCTATCAAATGCGTTACTTGACCTAAAAATCGGAGTCAGCAGGTGTGGCAGAAGCAGGTGATCTCTGTGAGTTTGAGGCTAGCTTAGTCATAGCAAGTTCCAGGCCAGCCAGAGCTGCCCAATGAGAGCCTGTTTCAAAAACAAAACAAAACAAAAACCAAAAGACAAAGAACAAAACAAAAACAAGAACAAAAGGAGAGCTGAAAATAAAGGTCACATTCTTCAGATGTGGCTTAGTAAACTGTGCCATCCTTTCTCCACCTGCAATCTAAAGCAAGATTAAACACAGAATCCCAAAATAATGATGAGTCTGCACGCTAACACTGAAGCCTCAACAAACCCCCACCAACCTCTACTCAGCGTCACAGCTGCTGCCGATGGGTCACCCGGGAGTGATGACCACGTGAGTAAGTGAAGATGCTGTGGCCGTCGAGGGGTCTGTCTGTATCTATCTAGAAACAGAGCGGGTGAGGGGACCGACTGTAATCTGAAAGTTAGACGATCAGGGCAGGGTCTGGGGCACAACAGGTCTGCCATCCCAGCTGCTGGGAGAATGGAAATTCAAGGTCCACCTGGGCTACAGAGTGAAAATTAGCCAAGCTCGCCCCACACCTCCAATCCAGCACTTGGAAGGCAGAAGCGAGGCAGATCTCTGCGGGTGAGGCCAGGCCGGTCTGCACAATGCATTCCCGGCAAGCTATAGCCAGTCACACAGTGAGACCCGGTCCCCAAGAGGAAAAACTGAAAAGCAATTAGTGATGTAGCCCAATGGTGATCATTTACTTGCTTAGGATATGAAGAGGCTTTGGGTTCAATACCCATGGAGGCCAGAAGAGGCCGCGGGTTCTCTGGAGCTGGGGTGCTGAGAACGAAAACTCCGGAGGAGCAAGCAGCAAGTGCTCTTCATCACTGAGCCATCTCTTTAGCCTTCCCCTCCCATCCTGGGGACTGGACCTAGCGAGGGTCTCAGACTTGCCGGAGATGTGCTCTGCCACTGTGCCACATCTTCAGCCGTGTGTACTCACCTGCCACACGCCATTGCACCTGCTTGTGACCTCTGTTCTTTAATGTGGAACATGGGACCTTTGCAATCCTTTCATCCATTAACTCAAAGCAATAGCTGTGAAGTGAAACCTGGTTCCCGACTCAGCTGCCTTCCCTTTGCATTTGAGTGTGCTCAGTGAGAAGCATAGGTGTCTTTCTCATCAGTTAAATTGCTCCCAGCTTTTGGACAACATTGAAAATGCTTGTTAGGGGGCTAGATTTTATTCAAATGAAGGTGAGTCATGCAGATTACTCAGATAGACAAAACCGAAGGGCTAGATTTTGTTAGAAAGTATTCTGGAAATATCTAGAAAACTCACCTACTACTATGACGTCTTTTAAGGAGAAGTGAACACCCAGCAATGTTATAACATAAATTAGACTGAAGTTGGTGTTGCTCAATGCCCCAGTTGAAATGTCTGTGTAATGTCTTGAATTGCATGCTTTCCCTAAATGGATACATTCGAGTGTCTAATGTGGCACTAAATTGTACCAGGTTTGTAAATGGGAGTAGAAATCTCTCTGAAAAATGGGAAACACGTTTGTTTCTGAAACCACTTACAAAAAAAAAAAGTAATTGGAGAAGTAATTTTCTCTGCTGCACATTAAGTAGCATTTAAACCCATTTGGGATGTCTGGCAAGAATCGAATGTGGTTATTTAGTTGATCCTATTGCCAGGCACCCTGACCCCATAATGCATGAGTGCTGGTCCTGCATCACATTATGACTTTAGTTTCGTGGCCTGGAGAGTCAATTAAACATTATGCAGGCAGCCAATGAATGTCCTTCACCATTAGTGTATGAACCGGTGGGAGGAGAGGAAGCAAGAATATAAAGAGAAAGGGCACTTCAGACGTGAGGAACACCAGCCTAGAGTCCCCACAGCAGTGAGGGTAGGTGCCCACAGAAACTTCTTTCTTACTGGGCAGTGGTGGGTATTTAATCCCAATATTCGGGAGGAAGAGGGAGGCAGATCTCTGTGAGTTCAAGGCCAGACTGGTCTACAGAGCGAGTTCTAGGACAGCCAGGACTGTTAAACAGAGAAACCCTGTCTCAAATAATAATAATAATAATAATAATAATAATAATAATAATAATAATAAAATAATAAGTAAAAAATAAAAGGAAAACTTTCTAGTTTCTGTTGTGGTAGTGATCTTTTTTTTCTTTTTAGTTTTTCAAGACATGGTTTCTCTGTAGCTTTGGAGCCTATCCTAAAACTAGCTCTTGTAGACCAGACTGGCCTCAAACTCAGAGATTCACCTGCCTCTGCCTCCCAAGTTCTGGGATTTAAAGGCTGTGGTAGTGATTTTTGCTTGTTTTGTCCGTAGCCCAGGCTAACCTTAGACTCTTGATACTCCTGCTTCCACCTCCCAAGTGCCATGATTACAGGCTTACACAAACATGCCTGGCTTTAAAGTTCTCTCCTAACCATATATTTGCATAAATATATGTGGAGAATATATTCAGTGCTTTTGTGTAAGCATATGCACACGTGCATGTGAGCACATGTGTGTGTGTTCAAGCACTTGAAGGTCGAAAGATGGTGCTGGGTGTGCACATTCCACTTGCACCTCCATTTCTCTCCATCTGTTCCTCTGAGGCAGGGTTTCTCCCTGAACTTGAGGCCAGCCCTCCCTCCCTCCCTCCCTCCCTCCCTCTCTCCTTTTCTTCCTTGACAGGGTTTCTCTATGTAGCCCTGGCAGTACTGGAACTCAGAGATCTGCCTGCCTCTGCCTCCCAAGTGGTGGCATTAAAGGTGTGCACCACCATGGTGCCTGGTCAGAGGCACATGTTTTCTTGGTTAGACCTTTGGCTGCCAGAACAGTAAGATAATGTTTACAGTAGCTTATTTGAGTAGTGACAGGCAACAAACACAAGTCTAGACCCAAGAGCATGGACGCCTTTTGGTAGTTTTTTGAGATAGGGTCTCATGTGGCCAAGGATCACCCTGGACTGTGGATCTTCACCTCTGCCTTTCAAGTGCTGGGACTACAAGTAAGGGCCACCACAGCAAGGGTATGACGTGCTGGGTGCAGAACGCAGGGCCTCCTGCATGCTAGGCAGACACTCTACCGACTATGACAACCTTTAGCCTTAGTTTTGGTTTCTTCTCTTTAAAAAGTTTTGTTTACTTCATGTGTGTGTATGTATATGGGTCTGTGCCATGGTATAAACACGGAGGTCAGAGAAAAATCTGTAAGATTCCATCCTTTCCTTCTACCATGTGGGTTCTGAGGATTGGATCCAGCTCATCAGGCCTGGTGGCTGAGTCACAGGCCCCTGGCATTGATTTCTGGAGACAGGGTCTTATCGTGCAGCCAAGTTGACCTAGAATTTGTAACAATCCCCCTGCCTCAATACCCGTATCACTGGGCTTACAGGTGTATACTACCACATCTGGCCTTTTTGTTTGCTTTTTGTTTTTTGAGACAACTTAGACTGATCTCTAACTAGGAGTGCTCTTTCTACCTAAATTTCCCAAGTGCTGAGAAGACAAGTAAATGCCACCACACCCAGCTCTGATATTGAACTATGTAAGGGGTGGGGCCACATCCTGCCCTCCCGCGCACGCTCTAAGCTCGGGTACCTTGGGGCACTCACCTGCAAATGGTGGTCCCAGTAAAGCTGAGATGCCGTTGGCACAGATGATGATGCCGTAGGCATTGGCCAAGTGCTCAGTGCCAACCAGGTCCTCCGTCACCACAGGCATGAGGGAGAAATACCCACTGGAAAACCCAATCAGGGCACAAATGACAGCCAGGCTCGCATAGGTATGCATCAATGGCAAAAGGAAGATGCTGAAGACAAGGGTGAAATTAGCGATGAGGAAGACGTTCCAGACGCTGATGCAGGGGAGGTCAGCCACCGCCCCCAGGATCACCTTCCCGAAGATATGAACTATTGCTATAATTGAGGTCAGAGGGAACACGTCGTTTTGTTCGGACAGGTTGTACAAGCTGACGATTTCTGGCAGGTGGATGAAGGGGATGACGAAGCTGCTGTATGCGAACAGAGCCCAGAAAACAAAGGCTACAAACATGCGGTTGGTGAAGAGTGAGGCTGTTCCGAAATAGCCCGAGTACCAGTCCCCAAAGCCCTTCTGGACTCGCACTGTGAGCTGGCTCACTGTCTTCAGAACCCGGAAAGCACACACGTTCTTCCGGGGCCGGGCTTGACCTTGACATTCCTGTGCTTGAAGGTCACAGACAGTTTCCTCATTCCCAGGCTGTCTGTCCTGTTCTTCAGTGACACTCAGTGGTCCTGATTTCATAGATTCAGCGGAGTAAGCTGGGAGAGCACAGGGCTCCTCCCCTCTCGGGCAGTTTTCTCCCTTCCCAGGAGAGAGGGGCCTCATGAGCGCTCCACAGACACAGAGGTTCAAGGACACGGCGCCTTGGATGAACATGGCGTTCCTCCAGCCATACTCTGCACACAGGTATTTCAGCAAAACGGTCATCAAGAATGTCCCAAATCCTGTCCCTGTGGTACTGAGGCCCTGGGCCAGGGCTCGCCTCTTCTGAAAGTACCTTCCCACCATAACCACCGCAGGCAGGTAGGCCATCCCGCTACCGAGGCCTGCAGGTTAGATGGAAAAAATCAGGAGGCACAGGTCAGAATCCATAGACCAGCTGCTGTGTCAGGCAGCTTTCCAGACCATAGCAAAAACACCTGAGGCAATCAACTTAAAAAGAAGAAAGGTTTGTTTTGGTTAGTGATTTTAGAGACCTTAATTTCTGATGCTTTGGGGGCACATCAGGGCAGAGAGATGTGGCAGAGCAAAGCTCATGGCTTCCGAGAAGACAAGGAAAAGAGAAAGCGAGGACTTAGGGATCTAGCTGTTGCTAGAGTGCTTGCCCTAGCAGGCATGAATTTCCACCCAGCACCACATGAAACTTGTCACTGACACTGTCCGTAATCCTAACATTTAGCAAGCAGAGGTAGGAGGATCAGAACTTCCAGGCCTTTCTCAGCTACACCGTGAGTTTGAGGCCAATATGGAATGCACAAAGACCCTATTTAAGGTGGAAGCAGGGCGGGGGGGGGGTAGCATATTCCCGATTATCTATTCCTTCTACTAGGCCCCACACCCTAAATCTCCCACCACCTCTCAATGCCCATTTTAGCTACTACACAGCCTTCAGGGACGTTTAAGGTCTAAGCTGTAACACCTCTGGCTCCTTACACCATTGTACATGCAGGGGAGCCGGGAGGAGCCGCCAATTTTTCCATAGGGCTTTGCAGTAGTTTCTGTCACTGACATCAGAGAAGATCCCTGCTGTAAGATCAGAAGATTCAAAACACAGTGAGCTCCAGGCCAGCCTCACCTATGAAACGAGGCCCTGACTCAGGCAGAATCAAACAGAAGAGGAAAGTGACGAGTCCGTCGTCCTCTGGACCACTGTCCACGAATGAAGCTGTAGGAAGATTTCTGAGAGCTTGTGAATGAACAAGACCAAAGCCTTGTAACCCTGCTCCTCTGTAACATGGGTTGTTCTTAGAGTACGCTTTGGTGCCCCTCCCAGGTGTACTAACAGGGACAAGTTTATTTTAGGTCACTCACCACCCTATCCATTGTTATTTAGAACAAAGGTTCCAAGCACAATTTGTCCTTGTGACTGTATACAGCTTCAACTCTAGTGAGCATTGCTCACATGACATTCCTAACCCTCAGAATATTCTTGGAATATAAACTGTCTGAGACCCTGAATAATAATGTCCATTCCATGAAACTTCAGTCTTTCTTAGTCTCCCACTCTCCTAGGCTCACGGCTCCAGCTAGAGTAGTAACAGTCTCGGAGCCTCCTGCCAGTGTCAGTCATGGGAAGACACAGTCCTCAACTTTGGGCCTAACTCTGGGCAGTCTTTATAAAACTTATGATCACAAAGATAGAAATCTACAATTTCTTAGAATGTAAAATAGACAAAGAAAAAGCACCCCAGAGGTGAGCAAGACAGGATGGAGGGGTTTGCTGCTAAGCCTGACATCCTGACTACCCGAGTTTGATCCCCAGGATGTACATGATGGAAGGAGAGAACTGAATCCTTCAAGTTGTCTTCTGACCTTCCCACATAAGAACTGTGTTACACACACACAGACACCACACACACTGCTGTGGATAATGTGTTTGTACTCTGTAAGGATTTGTCACTCATATTGGTTTAATAAAATGTTGATTGGCCAGTAGCCAAGTAGGAAGTATAGGCAGGGAAACCAGAGTAGGAAGCTCTTGGGAGAGGAAAATCAGAGAGTCAGTCACCAGCCAGATGTGGAGGAAGCAAGATGAGAATGCCTTACTGAAAGGTACCAAGCCACATAGCTAAACATAGACAAGAATTATGGGTGAATTTAAATCATAAGAGCTAGTTAGTAATAAGCCTGAGCTAATAGGCCAAACAGTTTATAATCACCATAAGCCTCTATGTGTTTATTTGGGACCAAATGGCTGTGGGACTGGGTGGGACAGTAACTTCTGTCTACAACACACACACACACACACACACACACACACACACAAATGTAAGGGAAGGGGCTGGAGAGATGGCTCAGTGGTTAGGAGCATTTGTTGCTACTGCAGAGGATCTAGGTTGGTTCCTGGAACCTACATGACAGCTGTAACCATTTCTAGTGGGTCTGACCATCTCTTCTTCTGAACTCTGTGGTCAAAACATACACATGTGGTTCATATACACACATGCAGGCAAAACACTCATATACATAAAATAAAACTTAAAAAATCTGGAGAGATGACTCAGTGGTTAAGAGCACTTGCTGCTCTTGTGGAGGACCCAGGTTTGCTTCTCAGCACCCACATGATGGCTCACAATCACCTACAATTCTACTTCTGGAGATCTGACACCCTCTTTTGGCCTCTAAGGGCACTGCACACATGTGGTACAGATACACATGCTGGCAAAATTCCCATAAACATAAAACAAAAATAAAAAATTAAAAAAAAATTTAAAAGATATTATCCCATAGCCCAGTACTAGGCCTACATCCTCCTCGTGGGTTGAGTTTGGATCATCTGTAACATCTATCTGCTATTTGAAAAAATTAACAAAGTAAAAATATAGAAATGATATAATGTCTAGATGACTGCATATCTAAAACCCTAGCTTGATCCTCCAAGAAATGAGAAACTTGAATTGATTTCTGTGGCTAGTGTGGACTTTTGAGACCTTGCCCCTTCAGAAGCTGGCTACAAAATGTCACCATCAGACAGACTCTGCACTCATGTGCTTGGCTCCCAGACCATCTGACATCAGTAATGCTACTTGGACCACACTGCTGTGAAAGGTAACGCCCCTTCCCCTTCTCCTACCCTATTATCCCTTCCCTTACCTGGTCTTAGGTAGTTGGTTAATTCTCCCCTTCTAACGTGGGTCCCAGGGATATAACTCAGGCATCAGGCTTGGTGGTAGACACCTCTGCCTGCTAAGTCATCTCATTTGCCCAAGACAAATCTTTTTAAAAAGAGATTAATTTTGCATTTAAAGAAAGCATTTTTTTTTAAAAGGAGCCTCTTCAATGAGCGTGTTTAAGGCTATTCTGAAAAAAAAAAAAGCCCTGAGTGGATGAACCACAGGGCACGTGACTGAAAACACACCATGAGGATGTTCTGTTGTCTGAGTATTACACATCATCCTTACAAAAAGTGATTGTCCAGTGTGCATGAGACCTTGAGTTTGGTCCCGGTCCCACATAAAGCAGGTATTGTGACACATACCACTAATTCCCAAGCTGAGAGGCAAGGCAGAAGTATCAAGGTCATCCTTGGCTAGATACCAGATTTGAGGCTAGCCTAGGCTACATGAGATGCTGTCTCAAAAAACATCTAGGGTGACTGCATCAATATGGGGTATAATCTTAAGATTCTTTTTTTTTTTTTTAGACAGGGTTTCTCTGTGTAGCTTTGGTGCCTGTCCTGAAACTAGTTCTTGTAGACCAGGCTGGCCTCGAACTTCCGAGTGCTGGGATTAAAGGCATGCGCCACCACTGCCCAGCAAGATTCATTTCTTGGGTGGGGGGTGTCAGTGTGTGTCCCCATATGCAGGTGCTCGTGGAGGCCAGAAAGGGCACTGGGTCCCCAGAGCAGGTGTCATAGCTGGTTGTGAGCTGCCCATGTGGGTGGTGGGAACTGAACTTCAGTCCTCCGCAAGAGCAGCAAGCGTTCTTTACTGCTGAGCTATCTCTCCAGCTTCTAATGGAACAGTTTAAAGCAAACCCTGGGAAGCTTTTAAAAACAGGATGATTTAATGACTTTTCGTGCCATCACTTAGCTTCAACAAATCTCAACTCGCAGCCAACTTGGTAAATACCACACATTATTTTGAATACATTATCTCGTGTGTGCATATTTTAGTATAAATCTCCAAATGTAGGAATCATTTAAGTGGCATAGTTCTCATATCATTATCTCATTGAAAAAAATCAACTTTGATACCACTAAATATCCAGAAGGCACTCAAATTTCCAAATGTTTCATAAATGGCTACTCGTTTCAAAAACAAAACCACCCCACAAACTTGTATGTTTAAACCATGATCCCAACAGGGCTTTACACATTGCTGTTTGTTGGTGCCTATTTTAAGTCTTTTATAGTCCTACCCCAAGACCTTGTGTAGTTTATTTTGTTGAGTTTAAGACCCTAGGTGATTTGTTCTGTGACACTGTCATGCTTTGGATTTTGACGATGACACAAAATAAATTTACTTATTTTAGACAGGGTCTCTTATAGCCCAGACTGACCTGGAATTTGTTGTTAAAGACAGCCTTGAAATTCTGATCCTAGCTAAGTGGTGATGGTGCATACCTTTAATCCTAGCACTTGTGAGGCATAGGAAGGCAGATCTCTGTGAATTTGAGGGCAGCCTGATCTACAGGGTGAGTTCCAGGATAGCCAGAACTGTTCCACAGAGAAACCGTCTCAAAAAACAAAACCAAACAAAGGAAACAAAAAAGTTTCTAATCTCTTTTAAACATTATTATTATTATTATTATTACCACCATTGCTATTTTATGTATATGACATGTGTGTGACTACAGACACACACATACAATATCACACATGTGGAGATAAAAGGATAATGTTTAGAATGGTGTTTCTCAACATGTGGGTCGCAATTCTCTTGGGGTCCTAAAGACCCTTTCACACAGAGGAGGCATATCAGATTCAATTCATAACAGTAGAGAAATTACCAAACTTGTACAAAAATTACAAAGCACCAAAAACAATTTTATGGTTTGGGGGTCACCCTACCACGAGGAGCTGTATTAAAGGGTCACAGCATTAGGAAGGCTGAGAACCACTGGTCTAGGAGTTGACTCTTTCCTTCCGCCTGGGGATCCAAGAGCCATTCAGGCTGTCCAGGCCCGTACCTGTCATAGGCAAGTACCTGTGCGCCATCTTGTCAGCACATTGGCATCAGGTCTTAGTGTCCCATTCCTGTTGTCTTGAGTTTATGTCATATTTATGCTACACATACGCTACCAAGTTTGTAAGTCAGCTAACATTTACCAAGCATTTTAGTACCTACCATCATGCTAAGCATTTTCTGTGAATTACTTCCATCATTTCAGCAGGATACTGTGATTGGTATTCCAGGTATGGCAGTACGTAGCTATCATTTTAGCCCTAAGTAGGTGCAGACAGGAAGACCCCCGATTTGCACGTAAGAAGACGGAGGTACAAGGAGCTTCCATGATGAGTCTAGTGTGCCTAATGTCACACGGATACTAAGCGGTTACAAAAGGAGCACACAGATGGGTGGCATTCAGTAGTAAGAGTGCTTGCCCAGAAAAAGTGAAACACTTAATAAACAGGCCTGACGGCTCACTGCTGCAATCCCAACACTGGAGGTGGAGGCAGGGGGATCAAAAGTTCAAGGTCCTTCTCTGCTACACAGTAAATTCAAGGCTAGTCTGGGAATATGAAAGGGCCCATCTCCTAACAGAAATAAATAAACAAACATAAATCTTTATTAACCTTTTGTTTTTACACTGTTTGCTTTCTGAGGTAAGGTCTTAAGACATAGTCCTGACTAAGTTTAACCTTTCTATCACCTTGCCTGAAGCTCCCAAGTGTTAGGAGTCCAGATATGCTATGTACCTCCGTATCCCATCCAAAATAACTTTTTGTTGCTTTGTGTTTTGACCTTTGTTTGCACAGGGTCTTGTGTAGCCCAGGCTGGTCTGGGACTCACTATGTATGTAGCTGAGGCTGGTTTTGCCTTCTGAGTTTTCCTCTCTCCACCTCCCCAGGACCAGAATTATAGCTATATACCACCACATTTGGATCTTTTCTTTTGCTTGTGATTTTGTTTTTGAATTTTGGGACAGGGTCTCAATGTCTGTGGACCAGAGCTTTGAACTAATAGAGATCCTTTTTCTGTCTGTCTCCTGAACACTGAAATTTTCTTCCTTCCTTCCTTCCTTCCTTCCTTCCTTCCTTCCTTCCTTCCTTCCTTCCTTCCTTCCCCTATTCTTACTTTTTTTTCCTGAGAGTCTCACTATATAGCCTGAATGACCTGAAATTCTCTATGTAGACCAAACTGACCTTGAACTTTTGGTAATGCCCCTGCCTCTGACTCTCAAATGCCATGAATGCATGTGCCACTACATCCACTCTCTTAATCAAAATAGCTTTCAACTCCAATTCAACAATTCATTTTTTTTTTTTTTTTTGTTTTTGGAGGCGGATCAGAGTTTTGTTCCCACAGAGTTTGGCGGGATTGACTTCACCATAACACAGGATTCGAGGAAATAGCTACTCACTGTGTGAACCCCACAAACCATGGGTAAAGGAAATTATGGCTAGGAAAACATTTTGCAGAGTGCAGATTACTCTGCGTGGTGTTCGGTTTTAATCTATCCCCTGCCTGTGTGCTAGATTGACTTCTGAGAATCTCCGTCTGCCGGGGACTTGTGCTAATTCATTCATCTGAACGGAGCTGAACAACAAATGACTATTCCATCCGTCACATTTAGTCCTGTGGTTATTAACGAGAGTTACTAATGAATGTCACCCATTTCCCTAGCATCTTGGTTTACTCACTTAAGTTTGTGTCCTTGTCCCCCCTTTCCCATTCTTCGAAGGAGAAACCCTAGCACATAGGAGCTGGCATTAAAGTTTGGATTTTGTTTTATTTGGGGGAAGTCAAATACAGTTGCTAGTGAGTGTCCCACACGTAAGGGACACTCAGCATCTATTAAAGTGTTTCTTGGGTCCATGGATAAGACAGTTTGCTATACAAGCACAAGGACCTGAGTTCAAACCTACAACATCTGAGTAAAAAGCTGGGTGTGGCTTTGTATACCTGTAACACTAGTGGTAGTTGGGGTGTCATGAGAAGGAGGAGGTTCTCTGGGGCTTGTTGGCTGACAGCCTAGCTCCAGATACAGTGAGACCCTGTGTCCAACAATAAGGCAAAGGATGACAGAATGGCACACACACACACACACACACACACACACACACACACACACTTCCAAGACGATATAGAATGCTTTAAAAGTTTTTTTCTAGATTTGTTTATTTTATTTGTGTGAGTATTTTGCATGTATGCAAAACTGTCTGTAAACTGGTGGTGTGTGTGTGTGTGTGTGTGTGTGTGTGTGCGCACGCTATCCATAGAGATCAGAAGAGGATATCAGATCCTCTCGAAAAGCGTTACACATGGCCGTGAGCTGCCATGTGGGTGCTGGAAATGGAACCTGGGTCCTCTGCAAGAACAAGTGCTCTTCACTGCTGAGTCATCTCTCTAGCCCATCGACAGAACGTCTCAATGGGCCTCTTGGTGCCACAGTTAAATTCATCCTCTGAATGCACAGAACACTGAAACCAAACATGTTAAACCATGCTTACCGGCTGCCACTCCAAAGGTAACAAAGAGAGTTTGCACGTTGGCCGCGTAGGCGCTCAACACCCAGCCGAGGGAGTTCACCAGCCCTCCAATGATCGCTGTCTGGCGGCACCCGCAGGTGTTAATGAACAAGCCGATGAAAGGTCCTGCCGCAGAGCAATAGAAAAGGCACTGACTAGAGCTCCTTGTCGTCTTAGTGTCCCCCCCTCCCCAAAAAAGTTAAAGAGTAAAACATCACCAGGGTTGTTGAAAGAAGACCAAACCAGGACTAGCGAGGTGGCTCAGCGGGAAAGGGGCTTGTGGCCAAAGCTGGCAACTTGAGTCTGAACCCTCAAACCTGCTTGGGAGAAAGAGACCTGACTTCCACAGGTTGCTGACCTCCACACACACACCCTCAATAAGCAAATAAGTATAGATTTTAATAGCATAGGCAAAACAAAAATATCTTATGATGGGGTCTCTGCAGGTGTCAGGGCAGGCGAAAATGTGAAAAGAAGCAAGAATGAAAAGCCCGTTCAGATTGACTTGGTCAACCTGGATCAAACTTTGGGAAGTCTGATGTCAGGCAGTTTTTACTGTAATTTAAACACAACAGAGTCTGGAAAACGGTTTTCCAGGCTACAGTCATTCCGATTCCAGGCGCACAATAAAGCTTAAGGGGTGGCTACATAGACATTCCTTTACAAAGAACATGTGACCATGAAGGTGGGGTCTACAGCTCAAAGGCCTGGGATCTGGTGCAGTCTCTGATGAAGACAGCACAGAGGTCCGCAGGCTAAGGGTGGGCTCTATTGACTGGGAGCTGAAGATAAAGGTCTAGGGTGAGAGCTTGGGATGATCATTCTGGGGGTCTGGATGAGGTCTACTTCTACAGATAACAAAAAGGTCATCAGGTCATTAATACATCCATTCTATCTTTTTGATAGAATACAGGTTTTATTTTATTTTATTTAATGTTCATTGGTGTGAGGATGTCAGGTCCCCTGAAACTGGACTGAACTGACAGTTAGTTGTAAGTTGCCATATGGTTGCTGGGAATTGAACCCGGATCCTCTAGAAGAGCAGCCAGTGCTCTTAACCACTGAGCCATCTTTTCAGTCCAGAATGCAGGTATTTTATTGAGGAGAGGTAATACAGTATTTATTATCCACTGAGAAGACACCCCTGAGTGATTAATATTCCAGTTTCCCTATCGAACTGTGGGCACAAGGACCGTTGTGCCCAAAAATCTTAAAGTATAAAAACCTTGCAGATGTGCACAATCTCATCAGAGAACATACGGCTCTAGAGTGGACACAGCAGTCAGCCTCATTCTGCCTACAACAGAAGCCCTCGGCTGATGTTCTAACAGGATCCTGCCTGGCATGCGTTTTCTGGACCTTACAGAGTTTGAAAATGTGTGGAATAAGCAAACACTTGAACATGAGATAAACCACACACACACACACACACACACACACACACACACACACACACACAC